GCTATGGCCAACACTCTCCCACACACCACACACAACCCACTCGCGCTCACACTCACACCCGTGTTGGTCATAGACCCCGCTAATACCGATCAGGGCATCCAGAGATCCGTGGTCCATTGGGCCACCAAAATGGGAAAAAAAAAGGAAAAAAAAAGGAAAAACAGGAAGGAGCTCGAGTCATGCGGAATGTTCGGGGCTATTACCTTAGAAACAAAAGGAAGTGATCCCACGCGGCGGCGTCGTGCCGGCATCGAGTATTTTCGAGCTCTGAAAGCGCGCGCCATAGCACCGACAGACTACAGTAGGAAGCTTAAGCGATGGTGTTCGCGGGGAAGCGCGCCGCAAAGCAGATTTACGCTGGTGATGCCGCCTCGGAGTGTGTCACTGGACAGTGACAGACATGGGAATACGCCTCCGAGGTTCTGGAAGCCTCCCCACGTCCTTCTCCAGGTACGCATGAGTGAGCGGATTGAGAATCCCCGTCTCTAGGTGATGATGGATTGGGTGCCGTACCACGTGAAAACCGTTCCTTGTCTGATCAGGACTGCAGTGGTTTCGCTGGCGGGCGTTTGGGACAGTCGTCTTTTTGGCCGGGGAGGAGGAGCCTGATTTCCTTGAGCACTTGCTGGCTATGGCCGATGCATAGAGCGTGCGAAGGAGTCGTTGTCGTTGAGCGTGTCGGCTCTGCGGTTATGCTGGATTGCGCGTTCCGTGAGGCAGTTTGTTCTCTCTGAGCTTGCTGGCTATGGTGGCTGGTGTCTGGACACCTTGTGACTCTATAAGAGAGTGACGAAGTTCCAGTAGGAGAAGCGGCGCGGAGGTTTTGAGGAATTAGGCAGTTGGCGCTCAAATTGGTCGTCGGCGTGGTAAGCTCTGGCGTTGACCGTTGTATGGTGGCAACTTAAGCCTTTGACGGCTCTGTCGGCGATGGTGTGAGGGAGGGAGTGAGGTCTAATCTTGGACACGTGTCAGTGCCGGATAATGTGCATCGTTTCGGCGCGATCTATTTTTAGCTCGGTAGCGAGTCGGATCTGCAGAGTGGCAGCATGTATTCCGTAGAGAAGGACGCGGTGCGGCGTTGACTCGCAGAGTCCATATCTGGGATAGAGAGAGCCCACTGGCAGCTCGGCGAAGTAAGGAGGTTAAGAAAAGCCTAGGCTGGTTTCATTTGACCTTAGTACTGGCAGGCTTGCAGGTAACGGAAGTGACGGAGGGGAATTTTGATCTGCAGCCTATACGACTGAATGCTAGACAGAGGTAAGTGCTAGGAAACCGGTCATGAGTCCGAATTTTGATGGAATCAGAATTTTGATTTGCAGCCTTGGCGGGAGCTAACGTGCATGCACGCATATGCGACACATTTTGCTCTTTGATTTGACCTTTGACTCTCTATAATCTCCTTTGCGCGCCATCGTTTCGCCGGACATCCGCCGATCCCAAAGGACCCAAACGATGTGGTGGATCGAAGAGAAGATCTCAGTTGATTTTTGTAGATGGTGCGATATTCGGTTACTTGTCCTTCGCTACTCCCACCGTTGACCTTGAGCTTTTTATTACTCGACTGCTGACTGTACCTCTTTTCACTCTTCGATCGCAGAAATGCTCGTTCTCTAATTCTAATGTTCGTTCGCTCGATCAGTAGATTGATTGATTGATTGATTGATTGATCGATTGATTGATCGATTCGTTGATTGTTTGGTTTTTGAATTGTGAGGCAAGGCCTGACGCCGGAAATATTTCACACTTGACTTTGCCTGTTGGAGTAACGAAGAGGTGGCGACTTGCATGTGTGCTTTTCATGGAGTCGAGAGGGGCACACGTGCAAGATATACGAACGTCTAGGGGGGCAGGGGCTGGGTAGGCATATTCGCATGTGTAATATTCGCGGATCAAATGACACTTATCGCAGGGTATCTTTAAAAGTGCTGGATTTCCGACCGTGTCGGTTTTAGCCCGACTTTGTGTTGTCTTTCGTACTCCCAAGAGAGAGACGCTATGGTAGCTGAAGATGCGGCACGTAGTCTAGGAAAGCATCAGCTGGTGGGATAGATAGACAAGCACAAATGCTGGATTACTACGGACGTACACGGACTCGTAACTTTTTGTTCAACGAGGGCATAGTCTCACTAGGACTGTTTCGAATTACATGTGGACGTAGTTGCGGTCATGTTCATCCAGACCCGGTTGTAAAAGATGTCAAATACATCCAGGAAAGTCCTCGTGTGGGTATGGCCCGAACGGAATCTAGCAGGATTCAGGAATTAATAAGGTAAAGACACGCCGAGGAGGAAGGTTCAAGAAATATATGAGGGTAGGTGTCGTAATACAGCTCGAAATCGAGTCAGGTGCACTGCCAAGTGCGCGGCTCAAACTTTTTGCCGCCAGTTTCGTATTCGTACCTTTTAAAAATAAGAGCAGAGATTGCAGTAGACCTGAGCATAGGCCGAGAGGACAATCTCGCTGATAGGGTCGTGGCCTGTGGGGGTAGCTTTCCAGTTGTTGGCTTGCAATTTCGGCTGGTGGGCCGAAGTGCCAATTCGAGCCGTGCGGCGAAAAGTTTGGCTGTTGGTCTCGACTCTCCACCCCCAAGATGGCAAGAAACGAGAATTAGCCTTAAAAAAATAATAATAATAAAAAAAAATACGGGTAACACGATTTTTTTGGCACACTTCCCGGTGCTCCTGATGTGCGACTAAGTTAGTGAAAACAGGACTATGCAAGCTCATGCGCATCAGTGCCATCAGCTGCCTTCGATGATTATATGCCGCTAGTGTTGTATCACTGCTCGGAAATAGTCCGTTTGTCTAATGGCTAACGGTCGTTAGGTAACGGGCAGTATGATGGCCTCACCTGCCCTTGGTGGAATCAGATAGAGCGAGCAGAGCGAAGAGGGTGACAGAGCCAAGATTGTGTGACACAGAGAAGATTGGGGGACACAGCGAAGATTGGGTGACACAGCGGACGCTGCGAGCGGCCGTGATGTCTCCGGCTTTAGTTGTAATGTGCTAAGGGAATCATCAACACCTTTCTCGAGGGGGGGGGAGGAAGTGGAGGGGAGTGGTGGGTCGGAAGGGAATGCAGCTGACGCCCGCCGCCGTCGAGCTCCGTTTGACCCGTCGTTCCGTTCAAATGGAGGCATCGTCTCAGCGGAGTCAGCGTCATGATCAGGATCAGCTGAGGAAGTCCGCTGAGCAGATGGTCCGAGAACGGATTAACATGCTGCCGCGTGGACGTGGATCCGCGGAATACGTTGTGCCAGCTGGTCATGAGCGAGGTCAAAGACAAAGTCAAAGTCAAAGTCAAAGTCAATCGCCGAGGACAGTGGGGTCGACTTCCCCGGTGACCAGGTTATTACTGTGCGGTGAGAGACTGTTCACACCCCCTAGACTGTTCGCGACACCATGTAGCGAAGTGGGAATGGGGATGGGGATGGGGATTGGAATGGGAACGGGAGTACGGCAGCGGTCTCCCGACCGTCGGCCTTGTATGACGTGGTGTCGTCAAGGCAACGAGCTCTTAACCAGCATACGGGCTAGAAGCCCAAAGCTATTGTCGGTTATAAGTGCAAGCGGCCTACGGCGTCCATCGCCATTGCCATCGACAGAGAGGAAGGACGTTCAAGACAGACACAGGTCGAGTAGCAGTGGCGGCAAAATGGCTTGTCACGTCGAGCAGTCCTCTTCTCCGAGAGCAGCTTGTCGTCTTTCTGTCGGAAGGTGCGATTCGAGATCGGACGTTGTGCGACATCCCACGTCCTGCTCATCATTGATTGGCTCCGTTGCGACCGAGGTCGGAGCGAACGCAGTCGTCATTGCGACTTTACCTCCTCCGATGATAGTCGGGATCCCGAGTTCCAGTTCCAGCGAGGAAGCAGCAGCAGAAAAAAAGGCAAATACTTCGGCTGCTGCCTGTTGTGCGGGGCACACGTCGCGCAGGTGGCATGCAACGTCGCATGCAACGTCGCAAAGTTGGTCATCAGCTATACTCCAGGCCATGCCACTGCCCCCGTCGGCGAGTGGAGGTGCCGACCAAGAAGCAGGACAAAAGCGAGAAGAAGATAAAGCAAGATGTCTTCCTCCTCCTCCTCCTCCTCCTCCTCCTCCTCCCCCTCCTCCTCTTCCTCCTCGTTCTCGTCCTCCCACTTCGCATCGTTATGATAACCACGTCCAGGTGATGATGACGCAGGTTGAGGGAGCACCTAGGTGTGGGAACGGACCAGGTGCGTCGGAAACTAGAAGAACGGGCCGCAGCGGATTGCGCAGCCCGAGGTCAAAGGAGGGATCTGCTGCTAATATACTCGATGGATTAGGAGGGGGAGGGAAGCTCGACACGCAGCAGCGACAGGGTGGTGAAGACTCTGAAGAGTGCGTTTTATGTGGCCGCGTTGGTTTGTCTCCGCATTTGTGTGAGGAGGCATCGGCGCCGCCGGCGCTGCCGCCCGGGCAAGAGAATGGCCATTCGTCGAAAACGGATGGCAGATTGGAGCACCCCAAGGCCGTCCCCGCTAGTAGAAAAGACGTAAGAGACAAGTCGAATGGTTGTTCTGACGAATTGAATCCTCTTTTTCACAGGCCAGCTTTAATTAAGGGCAAGCGGCCTCCTGTGGCACTCGCCATCGACGTTGATAACCTTGACGTTCAAGATTACACTGATGGTGATGATGATGATGATGATGACGATGACGATGATAGCGGTGGTGATCATGATAACGATGATGTCGCCGGTACACCGGATGGCTGCGCGGCGCGCTTTGGTAACGGGAATGTGAGATCACGGGACGAGTTCCCCACAGCACAGACTCGGAGTTCCGAGGCTCGAAGTCCCACAGAGACTCACCAAGGCCCTGAGAAAGGCATCTTACCGAGGGTTGATGGTGGAGCAAAGTCCCGATCGCCATCGTCGTCGACGAATCCCCAAGCCGCTACTGAGCCTACTCAGACAGGTGCAAGCAATCTACTGCCTGCCAGTGGCCGGAGCCATGGCAGTGAAACTGCGGCAGCTATGGGGGCGACTGTCGCTGACGATGCATTGTGGACTGTTTGGAGTCATATGGAGATGAGTACGCCGGATGCCTCGTTCCGGCTAGGTTCATGGTCCATCGTAGAGCCTATGGATTACGCTATAATGGCGACAGATGACAGAAGTGCAGATCGGAGCGGAAGCAACCATGGTTGCCCCCAAGCCGCAACGCCAGGTCCGGGTGCTTCTGCTGCTGCTGCTTTCGTGGAAGCTGTCACTAGGTCGCCCGTGGGTGGTCGGTTGTCGTCAGCAAGTGGAGGAGGAGGAGGTCCTGAGTTCGACTCCAGTTCTTCATCCGTAGCTGACTTTATCAAGGCGGAGAACATCTTTCCGTCTTTCGCTTGGACAAGCGGGTTGGCAGGAAGCCCACCTTCTTCATCCTTTATGTTGTCGCCCACGCCGAGGCCGTTGATTGATGCTGCGCCAATCTGTTACGACCCGGGCGCCGCCGACACGGCCCGGCATGGAGGAGACTCAGGAGAGGAAACTGTGGTATTGGAGTGGCATGGAGCGATGAGTGACCATAGCGGAAGAGAAGAAGGAGCGAGAGAGAGAGGGATAGACGGGGACAAGCAGAAGAACGTGGATCCTGCAAGTAAGCTACTACGCCCGGCTGCTGCCGTTGGCGCGAGTTGTATTCCTGGCAGTGTTGCCTCACAAGGTACATGCGAACCTGCGACAACTGGGAGCAGCACTGCTGTTGGAGCTGATCAAATTGGATACAAGATGAAGGCCGATTGCCAGGATGATGATGATGATGATGATGATGATAATGATAATGATAATGGTGATGGTGATGGTGAGGAGCAAGGTGGAAGTGATGGTGGTGGAAGTGGTCGCGGCAGCACTGAGTGGGAGGAGAAAGGGACGGAGGTTTCTTTGTCTTCTTTGCGGTCCGATAGGAGGACTCCGAGGCAAGAGGAGCCTCCTCACTGCGTACCGCGGAGCGAAGTATGTTTGGAGAGTTTGGTGGCTGCTGAAGGCGTGTCAGCTCCGGCTTCTCGGTCGGGATCGCCATCGACTACTGCAGTAGTCGATCTTCGACCTCTTGCCTGCCACCTTAGCGGCTCGGATTTCCCAAGTTCCGATCCGCCGTCCGATCTGCCACCGGATAGCAGCAGGGAACGCGATGAAGGCGATGAAGGCGATGAGGAGGGTCAGTATCTGCTGCTGCCTGAATCTGGATGTTCGGGGACTGGTTCAAGGAAGTGGCTCCGGCAGTTTTATAAGAATGGTACTTGCTGGGATGACGTAATTTATGAGAGGAGGATGGACGGAGAGCTCGGCTGTGATTCAAAAAAGGATTATGCTCGCATGGTGGAGTGCGACGCAGCCATCATTCACTCTTGTGGGCGCTGCAATGTCCAGTCCGCGAAGGTGCTGCCGGAGAGCACGGACCGTTGGAAAGAGGAAGTGACGAGTGAACAGAATCTGCCGAGGCAGAGGAGGAGGTCGCCGGCAGACGTTGGTCGCGAAGAGACGGATAGCTTGAGCCCAGTTCTGATCTCCTTTGAACAGGCAGAACAGGCAGACGGCACCGTTAATCTCCAAGTGGCGCCTTGGGCTAGGATAATTTCGAGGCGGAGGATGTCTCCAGGTCAACAACAGGCGTCGGCTGCTGCTGATGGCAATGTCAGTTCCGAGGTCGCAGGTAAGCGCTGATTTATTTTATATATACATATATATTTTTCCCCCACGTCCTAGGCTACCAGCCGGGCCGCCCGGGTCACCCTATTTTCCCGGGCGGCCCGGCCGTGCAAGGGCCAGGGAAGGTCCCAGGCTCCCAGCAAAAACAAACAATCCAAGAAATCCGAAAAAAAAACTATGTTATGCAGAAAAATAAACTGAACAACTTTTGCCTCAGGGTCACATTGAAATTCTTTACCAAATTTAAAATTAAAATTAAAAATAAAAATAACATACAGCCTCCTGATGAGTCGGTGAAACTCCGACGAAACAGTTTGTCACAGCCCCTCGTTTGTTGTCCTCTTCTCTCTCTCTGCCTACGGTTTACCGGGCAGTTCTGTTTGTGACGATATTTATATATCGTCACAAACATATATATATATTTTATTTTTATTTCTTTTCGGCCCGTCCGGGCAAGTGGACCCGGGCCACTCTGGTAGCCTAGCCCACGTCTCCTTTTCCTTCTTTTTTTTTTTTTCCTTCTGTCTTTCTTCCTTTTGTCTTTCTTTCTTTTGTCTTTCTTTCTCTTTGTCTCTTTCGTTTGTTTGTTTTTTCTTTTCCCTACCGTATTTGCGCTCGTCAAAGTGGTACACACATATGTGTCAATGGGAAGTCTGACTGACGGCCTGGGGCAAGGTCCCACTTCCGCAAATTAGGAGATTTCGGCCGTTGATCTTTGCTATCTACGGTCAGCATCCCTTAATTCGTGCAAGTGGGACCTTGCCCCTGGTTGCACCACTCGCCATCTGCTTTTCCTTCTTTTTCTTTCTTTTTGTCTTTTTGTCTTGTTTCCTTTTTTTCCCCCTTTCTCTTTGTCTGCTTTGTTTGTTTGTTCCCCCAACTTCCCTCCCCTCCCCCCGCCCCCTCCCCTCCCCCGCTGGTATTTGCGCTCGTCAAAGTCGTCCACCCATATGTGTCAGTGGGAAAGTCTGACTGACGGCCTGGTTGCACCACTCGCCATCTGCCAACATTTTGAATGCACCTGGAAAGGATATACGTGTGATGCATTCCGAATCTTGGCAGATAACGAGTCGTGCAACTAGGCCCTGAACCTCTGCAATCCACAGAAGTCCTTCGCCTCCCTTCTTTCCCTGTTCGGTTGGATCTTCTCATTGATTGCTTTCCTGAGGGGCTCGGGCGGGAGAGGGTGTGCGCTGTGGAGCGCCTGGCGCACCGTCGCACGGCACGACGACTCCCTTACGGCGCTTACGCGCTTCGCCTAGTAGGCAACACGTTACCGTTGCAAGTACCAAACCTGTGCGGTTCTCTTTTCGATGGAAATGGGAGAAATGGGAGTGCGAGAGACTATGAAGTCGCACTGATTGCTGGGGAACTGAAGTAGCTGCGGTACGTGCCTTGTGGTTGACATCCCCAGTGCTGGTCTGGGGATTTTAATTCCGATTCCAATTCCTCCACTGCATTAAGTCATAATATATGAATAAACCCACCCCATGCGGCTGAATGGTAAACACAATATCATTTAACTTTTGATGAACAGTCCGTTAATAGTCGGAATCCTGGCGCAATCAGATAAATACAATAAGTTTAGGGGTTATCCCCTATCGTAGGAAAGACGGGGGAAAAAAAAGGAAAAGAAAAAGAACAAGCAAATTAGGAATAGAATCACGCTTTCCTCCATTGGAACCGAGGAACCCTGAGCCTTAACTCGAGCCCACTGCCTGAGATTCTTGCTTCGCAGCTCCTTTTTGGTTGAAATTCCGTGTCCCCTTTAAGTAATTTGTGACCCAGGAATTTTGGAGTCTTTTGAAAATATGGTGGCCGAGTTTGGTCGCTGCTCCACTGGAACCCCAAAATAGTTTGTAAAAAACATTCGTTCTATGCTAAGGGGCATGAGAGGGAACGGAAGGTCTTATTAGGGCATAAATACTCACACCAGGACTTTTTTCCTCAACGCTGTGGACGTAATTGCGGTTAGGTTCGTGCAGGTCTCGCCGTAATTGCGGTCAGATGCCTTTCGGAAAGTGCTAAGAACAGGTACTAGCTTCTGACAGATTTTTTAATTTCTTTTGCACGGCTAGAATTGTACCCTTTTAAAAATTATACCTCTTGGTAGCAATATACAGTTATTAAACTGCCATTTTTAGACAAATATTTACGAAATTTTGACATCGTTTAGATTTTCAAGCAGCCCAAATTTGATGCGGACGCTGATACGGGGTAAATTGGTAAACACAATACATCCAACGGCCTTAAAATTTTGTAGACCCTCTCCACGGTCATGTGCTCGGCAATAGACTGGGACCAAACGGAGACAAACTGTTTTTCTATGGCAATGAGGTCCATGGGCGGATTGACACGACGGTGGGACTGGCACTACGCAGTCAGTGCCTAAACCAGAAACGTCGACAAGCGGGTACTACAGTACTAACCTTTTGAATACGAAGCTGTGATCGGATCTGAGGCCACGCTCACATAGCGTGCCCAAAATCGTATTTTCTTTAAAAAAAAAGGGGATGCCCGATTTGGGAAAATAGTGCCTGGTCCTCAATTCGAATGGAATTTCTCGCTTTTTCCCAAGAAAAAAAAAAGTTGACTGGACCGGTCACATTGCTTCCCCATTTTGCAACAGACAAGTTTGGGGCCGCCTGGATTTTGGGTCCTCTTCCACTGCTCAGTCACACTGCGAGAATCAGCGAGATAGCATTTCCTGTCAATATCTTTGTCCTCGAATTTGTTTCCATCAGCAGGTTGATTCCAAACATGAAAGGGAATTTCCTCCCGAGGTTACCGCACATTCCCAGCCCCCGCGGTCCCTCAGGCCGCTGACAAATACGGTCACGAATAAAAGTAGTTTGGGGAAATGAGATCCTGGTGTGACTATCCCTTGACACTATTTTTTGGGGGATTTTGGGGATTATGAGGATTTGGTACCGCAGTGTGAGCATGCCCACTGCCCTGCGTTGGTGATGAGAGGAAGGAGGATGATCGGGAATGAGATTATGAGAGACGTACGACCAGGTACGTTAGATTAGGAATACGGAGGGCGGAGCAAGGGAGCATGGGAACACGGGCATTTAACCTAGTAGAGAGAGTGCATCTTCGCCTGAGTGGACGAGGCAGAAGGGCTATGTCAGATTGTGTATGCGCACTCCAGATTTGTGTTCTGTTGGCACATTATGTCCTCCACGAGAGCAAAGTGTCACATTTTGTGCTAAATCATTTGACTGTGTATCTCTTTTCTTTGTTTCCTTGAAGTCCAGAACAAAGTCCTCTGAGAGATTCTAGAACATATACGACATTTCGTGGGAGTGCCACATACGATGTTCCCAGATTCCCAGAAGAATGAAGCCAGGTCTTTATATCTCCCCAAACTTTCGAGACATCATTTTGCTAGATGGGAGATTGAGAGTTGATCAGGCTCCAGCCTTGAGGGCAGGTATATCATGGTTTCGGAGGCATTGGGCGCTCTCTAGTCAGTTAGGAGTAGATGGTTCTACTGGATAGAGATTACTGTTGGTGCCTTTGTGCAAAATGTGTCGGAAACTGCTTAGCACTTAGCTGTAATGGATAGAGTAATTTGACTGACAGTCTTACTTGTTTTTCATACTAAGGGCGTACTCACACAACCGTGGCATAGCGGCAAAAGCTGCAAATTTTTTCTTTTTTCTTTGTTATTACCGAAAGGAGCACGATTCGTTTCCGCTAAACAAGAAATAAAAAACAGAATCAATAAAGGAAAAAAGGGAATACCAAACCATATCTGTTTTTGTGCTATGACGATTTTCGTGAAATTACAAGAACCTACGCAAATTAATACAGTAATTATAATAAGGCCAATAAAAACTTCATAAGAAACCAAAAGACCAGGGGATTTTTTTTTATTTTTTTTTTTTGAGCAAACTCAAATTCATTCTCAATCAAATAATTGAACGAGGCCGGGGACCTCACAATTCGACCTGGAGTTATCCCGGCAGGCTCGGCGGCAGCATCAGCCAGCTTAGCTTATCCAAACAAATTCTCCTATTCCTTTCCTCCTAAATTAACTGCTAGCTTTAATTAATTATCATTACTTCCATAACCTATCCCCCCGACCCTCATCTTTACTAGTTCTTATACTTTTACCTATTCCTACCTTGACTACAGTGTTCCGTGCTCCAGCCTATCAACCGGTCTGGAGCTAAGGTTGGACCTCAGCCTGAGGCCGCTGAGAGGCACGCTGTTCCTTTTGTGGTAGCCTAACACTCTCCACCCTGCCCTTCCCTTTGCGGTCTACAGTGACCGCCCAGTGGAACCGAGTGCACCTGGTTCCTCCCTCTACTTCCTACTCCTATAATCCTATTCCTATTCGAGCCAAGGCGAAATCTTTAGCTTCCTGTCAGTTATCATAGCTAGCCTACCTGGTTTTGCCCAAGTTTCGGCAAACCACCACAGCCCTGATTCCCAGTTCCCTTTCAGAACTCTCCTCCTCCAGTCTGCCCTGATGTCCATTTTCATCGCCGTTCGAAACAACCTCTCCACCTGTTTCTCTTCCATTCCCTGCCCCTGAAACCTCCTCCCATTCCTGTCCAGCCATATTACCCACATCAAGGCTGCTCTGCGAGCCTGTGCAATATAGCCCCAGCCTTTGCCACTGGGGACACCTTCCGGGAGTGTTCCTTTTGCCCAATGTCGAAACCACCAGTGCCACCATTTGCGTGAGTGTGGACAGGCCCCCCACAGGTGGGTCATGGTTTCAACCGGCCCATTACATCTATCACACTCCAGTCTTATTTTCATTCCCCTGCTCAGCCATCTTGTTGTCGGGATTGATAGGTGTGACGGTAGCCAAAGAAGGGATGCAAGTCTCTGTGAGGGCCCTGAGGGGATCTTGGCCAGCTGCCCCCATAACCCCTTCAGTTCCCTTTCTGACGGCTGTTGTATGCAGGGTTGACCTATCTCCCAGCGGGTTATCAGTTTCGTCAGTAGTCTCTCCCCTTTGGCCAACTTGGTGGCCACTAGACTCCCAGTCAGATTTGAGATATCCAATATTCTCTTTGCACCGACTTGCCAGCCCCATGCTAGTGGGTCTATTCTGAGCAGCCTCTTCGCCAAGCCTCCCGCTATCAATTTGTAGACTGAGGGTTCTCCTCTTCCCGGCTGCTTCACCGCCCTCGGAAATCCATTT